ACAGTGCTGCTATAAATGTGTGCTGGCCGCCATCTTTGAGCCTTTGAGTGGGCACACTGCTTCCTGTTTCCTACTGGCATCAAAATCTGAGGCACGAGATGTAGTTGCTGTGCAAGGCGCATGCTGCCCTTGTCTCTGTTGGACGTGACTGAACATTCTCCAAGTCCTGTTATAAAGTTAACTTTCCTCCACATGCTCCACTCATCAACTAATATCTGTCCTGTGTGAATGCAACGGTGCCAGAAAATGACGTGCTTCAGAGTTGTAGCTCCAACCCTATGAGTCACTCGTGCCCCAACAGCCTGCCTTCGAGTCTGGTATTCAGATTCTGGACTTGCATTACGACTTCAAGCTAGTCAACCCCCGAGCCTTCGTTTTCTCCCCTTAAAAATGAGAAAACAAAGAGTCTGCTTCTTTGTGTGATTTGGAAGGTCGAAGGGGAGGAATAACACAATGGTAACTTATAAACTGTGAAGTGGTATAAAACGTAAGGGACGTTTTCATGATTGTTATCTACTCGTTGGTTTCCATTTGCTACACCCAATCCTGCCACCCAAGCTCCAAATTTCCAAAATTACAAAGAGAATCTCGATGCCCAGGGGAGCAGCAGTCAAGAAATCAAAGGACATATTGCATTGGGTAAATCTGCTGCAAAAGACCTCGTTCAAGTGTTAAACTGGGGAAAACTGTCACTTTAAAGACTGAGGTGCCGCTGACCCGAGGCATGGCATGTTATATGCATGTGAATGCTGGACAACGAGTGAGCAAGACTGAAGAGCTGATGCCTCTGAACGGTGGTGCTGGTGAAGAACATAGACCATGGACCGCCAGAACGACGACAAACCTGTCCCGCAAAAAGTACAGTCCGAATGCTCCTTAGGAGTGAGAATGGCCAGATGTCATCTCTTGTTCTTTGGTCATGTGGTCAGACAGAAGGGACCAGTCCCTGGGGAAGGATGTCAGGCTTGGTAGAGGAGAGTCCGCAGAAAGGGGAAGACCCTCAATGAGACGGATCGACACAGTGGCTGTGATGATGGGCTCAAGCACAGCAAAGATTGTGAGGCTGGCACTGGCTGAGGCCGTGTTTATTCTGTTGTACGTGGGGTCATTGTGAGCGATAGCCAACTTGACAGCACCCGACGCAGAAGGAATGGTTCTACGATGATAACAATAAAGCATGTTGTAAGTGACTAATTCATGGTTCCAGGACTGAGATACAGACTGTGCTGGGTTATAACCCACACAAGGAAACACCAACCCTCTCATCATCTGGACCGTACGTGGAGATTGTTTTAGGGCACAAGGTACTATTTGACGTCTCGCCGAGAGATGAGAATATGACATTGCTTGTAAGCATTCCGCATTCGCTTCATAAATCCCACCAAGTGACCAGGTGCCACTGAACTGACCCCAGCCCACGGTGACCTCGTGTGCGGCAGAGTAGAACGGGGCCCAGGGGGTTTCAGTGGATGAGGCTTTGCAAGCAGTCCCCAGGCTTTTCTTCTGAGGCACCTCTGAGTGGAAGGAAACCTCCCACTTTTTGGTCAGCAGCCGGTGCGTTAACCATTTTAACCACTCAGGGACTCCATTAAATGAACGAAAAGCCCAACCCAACCCACTGCCACCGAGCTGATTCTCTTAGTGACCCTAGAGGACAGAGTAGAACTGCCCCGTAGGGTTTCCAAGGCTGTAAATCTTTATGGAAGCAGACTGCCTCATCTTTCTCCTGAGGAGCGGCTGGTGGGTTCAAACCTCACTCAACCTTTTGGTTAGCAGCTGAGTGCTTTAACCACCGTGCCACGAGAACTCCTTTATTCCGACTCATTGCAATCCCCATTGGGTTTCCAAGGTGGTAAATCTCCATGGAAGTAGATTGCCCCATCTTTCTTCCAAGGAGTGGCTGGTGGGTTTGAATTGCCAACCTTCCGGTTAGCAGTCAAATGCCTTAGGCACTATGCCACCAGAGCTCCTTCTGAAATGAATGGTCAAGCTCCAATCAAATGGCACAGATTCTTCTTACATATAAAACATGAGAAACATTATCGCCTCACCTTAGGAATACGCCAGTAGGCTATTATTAATAATGCTATTTCCAAGGTGACAATGTGTGTGTTTGCGTGTCTGGGGGACGCTGGGGTGTGCTGGTCGCAGGGAAGGAGATGATCCTCACAAGCATACCTTTTCACTCAAGGTCAATTCCAAGGTTTCCAACGGGTCTTTCTGAGAATTTGCATTTCTACCCCAGATACACTGAATCAGAATCTACATTTTAACAAGATCCCAGGTGATCTTCAAATGCTAAGAGAGGGGATCTTGTTAAAACGCAGGTTGTGCTTCAGTGTATCTGGGTGGGGAGGCATATGCCCAGCAGGGGGTCCAGCCAGAACCCCCGGCTTACTGCCCGCTGCTGAGGCAGGAAGCTCCTTCAAGACGTTTCAGATAAAGCAGCAGCCAGCTGAGCGTGGCACGGTGTCCATTAAGGTCGGACCGTGGGCGCTCAGTGGTGCCTGACTGTACTGGTATGAAATGCACACGCTTCTCTAGTTCCCTTTCCATTCTCTCTGTCTCCATGAAGTCTTGAAAACAGAGCAGTCGGCCTTGAATTGAGGGACATAGCAGTAAGGAGCCTCCCCCAACTTCCCTCCGTACCACCAGTCTCTGTGCCGTTTACTGCACGGTCACACGGATGTGGAGTTCTGCAGATACACTTTCACGTGTTTCAATAATTAAAATGAGCTATAAAACCCAAGCCCACTGGTCGAGTGGATTCCGACTCATTGCGATCCTATAGGGCAGAGCAGACCTGTGCCGTAGGGTTTCCAAGGCTGTGATCTTTACGGAAGTAGACTGCCGCATCTTTGTCCTGCGCAGCGGCTGGTGGGTTGGAACCACCAACCTTTTGGGTAGCAACTGAATGCTTTAACCACAGTGCCACCGGGGCTCCTCACATTTATTGGTTTTCGATCAATCTACTTTGTCTGAGTCAGGGCCTTTTCTTTGCCATAGGCTCTAGGTGGAGGTGGGGAGTGTCCAGCACGATGTAACCAGCAGTTTAGAAAAAGCCAGGTGCTTGTGTGGTGCAGATAGCTTGCACGTGGGGGTTTGGGCCCAGCCAGCAAGGCCACTGAAGAAAGGCCTGGTGGTCTGCGTCTATAAAGCTCACAGCCCGGAAAACCCTATGAAGTAGTTTTACTTTGTAACACACTGTTGCTATGAGTCAGAATTGACTCAGTGGCAAAGGGCTTGGCTTAGTTTTGGTTTCAGAATTAGGGCTAATGCCCACGAAGGAATCGAGGTATCATCCAGGCCCTCCTGGTGTCCGCTTGCTTCAGGGAACACGTGTTGTCGCTGGTGTACACATCACTTGCCTTAAATAGCACAAAACGTTTGGCTAATGCCAAGTCGATCAAAACGCAGCGCCCCGTGGAGTACCAAGTTACCGCTACCCTTCCTTTCTGTGTCCCTCCAAGCCAGGTTGCTCTTATTACAAACTCCAAGAGCAACTGGAAGGACCAAATTCATTTGAGAACGAACAGCAGCACCTCCTTGGAGATGGCAGGTCACGGCTAGATAGGGCCTCAAGCTTCCCCCGTTTCTTCCTTCCTTTTATTTAAAAACCAGCTTGACCGCAATAACGTATTAACGTTTCCAGTTGCCCCCAAACCCATGCCCGAGTAAGTTTCGGGCAGGGCATCTGTTTGCTAACCTTGACTACTAACCAGAAGGCTGACGGTTCAAACCCACCAGCCACTCCTCGGAAGGAAGGTTGGGCAATCTACTTCCGTAAAGATAGGGCCTCGGAAACCCAAGGAGGGGTCGCTAGGAGTCAGGTCCGACTTGACGGCACATAACAGCAGCCTGGGTTTGGATCTTAGTTTGACGCGTTGTCACATGTACTGCCCCACCCACCGGCTTTCGAGTTTCCTATTTCCCACGGGCCGGACATCTCGCTGAGGTTTCAGCTTCCGAGTTTTCGCTCCCCTTTCACCTCTCCGAGGAGACAATGGCAAAACAGGTCATTCAGAAAGGAGGTGTTGCAGTGCGTTCTCAACGGGATGAGTTTTGCAAGTGTGTACCTGTGGATTCCCTTACAAACGTGGACTTCGTCATTTCACTCTTACTCATTTGTCCCCTAACAACTTTCATTAATATCCAGTTAAGCAACCAGTGCCTCTCCCAGCAGATTCAGGAAGCTAGGGCTATCTACAGTAGATGAGCGTTCGTCCCGACCTAAGGTGATCCCTTCTAAACACACAAATGCCAGCTAGCACATGAAATGAACACCTTTATGACAGCATGCATACACACCAGGGAAGGAAAAAAACGATACCGTAAAATGGTGCTTAAGTGGTCCAAAGGGGGCAGTTACAAGCCTCCAGGTTCAGCTGACCGTTAGCATGCAAACATGCAGATCTCCTGTTTCTAGGTACCTGATCTTTGAAGAAGGGCAGATTTTGAATTTTTTTTTTTTTTAAATGTCTAATCTTTAGACTTTGAATGTTGGTGAGGAATTAAAAACAAACAAACAAACAAAAAACCCAACCAACCAAAAAACTCTGGGTAGGCCGCACCCAAGCATCTGCAGGCTGTTGGTTGGCGACTTGTGAAATGGACGCTTCGGCCTGTGGGTTGCTTTTAAGAAGTGTGTGCAGAATGTCCTGCCAAGAAAAGACAAAGCTGCTGTGAGTGACAAGAGCAAGCCCGGCACTGGAGACCGCACGCGCGAACCCGGGCAGGTCAGGGGTGAGAGGGGCCCTAGCAGACGGCAAGCTGAGGCCACAGACAAGTGGCATCTTGCAGCCAGTTGCACTTTGCTCAAACTCCGCTGATGCAAACAGGCCTGCTCCTTGTTCCTTCACTCTCCTGCATCTGTAAGCGACCCTAAACTCGAACCTGAGCTCCTCACACAGTGGATCACCCGGAACCCCGCAGATGTGTCTGCTGACTGCACCAAAACCAGAGCAAGGCGCCGGGGACACTGAAGCTGTGGAGCAACCCACCGGGTCCGAGTTCCTCTTCATAGCGGCAAAGGCACTGGAGACCAAAAACGAAAACGTGCATCCTTTATTCTGACATCGATACATTTATTTTTCCGAGGGAGGGAGGCAGTGTTTCGCCTGCACTTGGCCAAGGAGAAAGGCACGTGCGTTTTCCAGTTGCTTTATTGCACTTCGCGTACAGTCACAGGTGGATCTCTGTTCACATGGGACTTGGGACTCCCTAGCCCAACTTCCACATACACACACACAGCTTTCCACAAAATCCTACCTGTTTTACACACTACTACAACAGAAATCATAAAAGATGTATTTGGTGATCAAAACTTCTCAATAATAGCACTTTGAAGAAGATAAACGTTTGCTCTGTGAGCTTTTTCTTCCCCCACAAAATGGTGTCTGTTGCCAAGGAGGGGCAGCACACTCGAAAGTGACGGAAGTCACGCGTGTGGAGCTGCCTGCCGCCCCTCCCACCTCACCCCTGGGCAGTTAGTGCAGCAGAAACAGAGAGAACACTGTGCTTAGAGGAGAACCAGTTTGATTCAGCGTTGAGTGCCAGGCATTTCTACCATTTTGGGGTCTCTTCATAAAGTATTTCAATTTAGATAATTCAAAGAAATCACGGACAGGAGGACCAATGAGTAGCATGTATTCCCAAAAGGCATTTCATGTTGTTATCCGTAGACAAAATTACTTTTCATTTTAAATAAATCTATGACCCTGGGAAAAAAGTTACTTTATGGGTCTTAAAAAATCTGTGGTTCTCAAAAAGTTTTCATAACAAGTGAATTGTACTTTGGAAATTTGGTTCCATTCCACCAAAATTTACTGTTGGAAATGTGAGGATACCTAACGGTTACTAGGGATATAAAGAGACACCCATCCCAGCCAGCCAAAGAAATTCTCCAAACCGAAGTGTTTATCCCACATAAAAAAGTACCCAATAGTGCCGCTGAGGATTCCTGACTTGGCAGTGAGTCATTTCACTTAAACCTACGATCTGCTTTCTAGACCCTCTGTAATTACCTAGTACCTCATGGGTAGGATCCTGCAGTTACCCACTTAAGCGCACGCTACCACCCGTGGAGGTACTGCACCCACCCCTACTTTCACCCTACGGTTTCCCTGACATTTTGTCTGAGAGAGGAAGACAAGTTCAGCAAGTTAGGTACATTAATCTCACCAACTTCCTGAATGAAAGCCTTTCAGTTCTGTTAAATAACAGTATGAAGCAATCAAGGGACTGACGCTACGATAGACACTTGGCAGTGTCAACTCTGAAACTAGTACACCCTGTACAATGGGATTTATTTCCACCTTAAAAAACCTGTCTTTTCCAATTTTTCCAACATAAAAGGTGAGAATGTGACATAAAGTACCATTAGCTGCTAATGAGATGAGACTGCATTTAGAGGTTTCACAGAACGTGGAGTGAACTGCACCGAAACTCTTCACCAATTCAGGTGACGAGGCCCCGGGACGGCTTGTTTCTCAGCAGCTGGAGAGCATCTTCGACTTTTCACAGGGTAGTAGCCGCACTCTCTGGCAGCTGCAACTTGACTAGTAGTAATGGCACCGCCCCCGTCAGGGAGACGGCTGAGTTCACTCCCATGGTCTCAGTGGCCATGAGTGAGGATGACGTCAGCCGCGGTCACTACTCTGTTTCGGGTACGCACATGGACACACCTGAACTAGGGGTGTACCCTCACAGCCTGCTCTGTCAGGGGCATACTGGTGTATTTGTATTTTGTCCAACACGTGACTGATTTCAGCAGTTCCCTACCCCTCCCCGACTTCAGAATAAATAGAATGTGATTTCCAAAAACAAGCCATTATTACAAGCCATCATTTGCAAAGTTTCACCCTGAGAACTTGTCTTTTCAAATTGATCGGGATCAAGACGTTATTCGCAGAGAACTTCTCCAATGCTGGGGTCCCGGCACTTCCCTTTCTTGGATGAAGGCTCCCTTTGGAAGTGAGAAAGCAACCACTGGAGGGACTCACCCGGGAAGCTGCTCCCCCGGGCGGGGTGGGGGTGAAGATAGAAGGAAAGGTGCAGACTGACTGTGCACCGTCACCCAGTGCTTGCTGGGAACCATCTGAACTGTGACTTCCCTTGACAGGAGCAGCTGGCTAGGAAAGCTCAACCCTGCACAAAAGAACGACATCACATGGAAACAAAAATCCAAACACTGAGGAGGTAAGATCGGATTCCTGGCTTCATTACGTGAGCACAAAATTATACCGATTTGCAGAAATTCAGAGAAACGGCTCAACAGAGAATCAAACTGGTTCCTGTGGGTGTGTCCTGCCCGTGAGTCCGTCCCTTATCCCCCCTCGCTGTGAGCACACAGAGATTATTCTGGAGGAGGGCAGAGGACAAAGTGTAGAATTAGTGATACACACGCTAAGAGGCAAGGGCAAGACCAGAAGAAGTCCTCCAACAAACGCTCCTTTGCTCCCATCTCTGCGGGCACCGGACCCCAGGGGAAAAGCCGTTTTACCAGGAGTGTGTCCTACCGTCAGCACAGACAACACAGGACAAGTCACGCTGGTTATGTGTGGCCACGCTCTCCAGGGTTAGTCCAGTAACTCAAGACTTGACATTCTCTTTGTCTTTATTTGTTTATTGTAATTAAACATGGAAAGGTTAATAAAACAGACATAGTCCAGAGTTAGTAGGTTGGTATTATAACATTTATTAAAATAATGCTATGGGTTAATAGAAACAGCAAAGAACCAAAGAATTAAAATGCAAGCTATGTCAATTCCCAACTAAAATCCCAAAGTGTCTAATGTACTCATTCATCAGCTAACTAAAAACCCAGGAAAGACAAGACACCCAATATAATAAAGTACTGCAAAACAACTGGCAAGTTTTCAGTTATCAAAATTGTGGAGTTGGCATTTTGTATCCTTTTCTCAATCAAGAAAAAAATTTTTTTGAATGTTATATAACATACATATAAAACAAGATAGAAAAATACATTATAAACTTGTAACAATGGCTGTAAATACATTATCTTACATGTTTCTCATAGGCAATAGGTTGGTTATGGTACATACATAGCATGAAACTACTAAGATAATAAAGAACAGACAAAATACACGTCAGCTGTACGGGAACATACAAGCGACACTCCCACCTACCCACTCTAAAAAATTACATAATACTGTCAGAAAAAAAGTCTTAAAAACTACATATTTTAATAAGAAATAAATTCAAAAAAGAATGATAATACTGAGAACCAAGGCATTCAGAGATTTCAAAAGTCATGCTTTTTTTTTTTCAGTTGATTCAAAAGTTTGTCAACTAAGTTTTCAAAAGTTTGTTCAGAGCAAACGTTACTCATAAATGTCACACGTTTATTTCATACAGTTACTTTCTTCCCAATAAAAGGCCTTGACAAACATCTACAATGTCCAGGTCTAACACAGTTGAGATGAAACTGGATCAAATACTGGTATGTCGTTTTTTTTAACAACTATCACCTCAAGTGTTTGAGTGTCGCAAATTTATTCAACCAACCAAACAAAAATCAAAATGGCGCAGCGGGGACTGCAAATGACTCAGAACTGTGTGGGGGACAGGAAGACGAAGCAGTGGCACGTGGACCAGGGGCTGGCTGCACACAACACCACGGATGTCTATTGCATAGTAAATAAACTGACCCCGGATTCCAAGTGAGACAAGAGGCGGCTGAGGTCACCACCCACAGGGGTGCTCACCGGGCTGACTGCTGACCTCTGACTCGAAGCTGTGAAGGTTTGGAAGAGGACCGAGTTGATAGCCAGGACTCCACTGTCACTTGGGATTTGCCATGTCTGGTACTGAGCAGCTAACGACCATCCCATTCAAGCTCTAGGGGCAGGCACTACGCAGTCAACTGCTTCAACTACAAAACCAACTGTTTCAACTGCATGAGGAAAATGGAAGTGTCAACTGAAATGTGGTTGATCCTGTATATGCAAAACGATGCTAGCTTTTCACATTCTTTTGAGTTAAAAGAACGCAAGAAAAAAGGGGGTGTGTGTTCACTAAAACCAGCAGAGATGGACTATACAAGCTGTCTGGTGTGAGAGAAAGACGTCGGATTAAATTTGGGTCGTTTAAAAACATTCTTTTTCCGAACGATGGTCGCAGAGTCATTTCGGTGGAAAGGTTGGCCGTAGGATCTACTATTCTCTCCAGTCACTAGCCCCTCCCCGCAAACCGAGTAAAGCTCTCCTTCTGTCTGTGAACTGGCGTTCAGCGGCACACACCATCAATCCTCAGCTCCGCATCCTTCGGGCTGACACTGAAGACTGCAGTAACCAAAAGGACTCCACTATGATTTTACAAGAACGATGCTTTAAAACTTACTAGGCAGGCATTAGAAAAGTTATCAAATTTGTTCACAGTATCAGATTTGGCAAATTTGCATCAAGGTAACGTGGCCAAAACCGCCCAGCTGGGCCATCAACTCGTGCCTCCCGTCACGCCCTCCGCAGCCCGGGCCACTGAGCAGCGCAGACTTGTACCCGAGGGAGGAGCTGCTCTTCCGAGACACTCGACTACATGACCGTGAAGGAAAATAAGGCACTTCCTTTGCGTTAGACTTATTCCAATACTTAAAAAATAAAAAGAAAAGACAGAAAGGCTCTTTTGGTCTTTTGTTTCTTGACAACCACCAGAAAAATCACTTAATGAAATAAAGGGTTTCTTTGTTCTTTGTTCTTTTTATAACACTTGAAAGTATAAAATGCTACATTTCCAAAAATATATATATTTTTTTCTGCACCAGCACCCTTGTATAGTAAAAGTATCTACTTTTGTTCATTGTTTCAATGCACTACACTTTATCTACAATTTCATTACATGTATACAGCAAATAGGCAAGCATGGCTTTTACATCCTTAATGATTTTTTTCTATACAGGGAGGTTTCAAAAAAATATTCGAACAGTTTGCCCAGTAACGTGACACATTATGCATGTACCTTGTTCTCATACGAGTTTTTAAGGAGGTGTAAAAGAAAACTTCAGAAATTGTAACTCAGATATTTACTTTTTTCTTTAAAAATAGTGTTGCAGTTTTGATCTTTGCATTACTTTTTAAAACTCCTCATGAATTTTCTCTCATGGCACACTCTTCTAACACTTCAAATTTTGGCAGGCGATAGAAAAGGCTGCAACGTCTGCCCTCTGAGGGCACTGTAGTGAGTAAGAACGCATCAAATTTTGAATACTCGGGAGCTCACTTCCCCAATGACACCCCTGACCACAGGCGCATGCATGATGCATCACCACCCGGTACATTCAGAGAGCTGGGCTCCGCCCGGAGAAGGAAGCTTCCGGAAGTCTCTCACAGTAACTGCCTCTGTCACTGAGTGGATAAAGCCCATCGCCTCCCTTCCGAGCGAGGCCTCTCCCCGTTCGCTAGGGGGGCGGCAGATGCTCAGTGCTGGGGGATGAATTGGGCCTTATTGCTATACTACTATTCAGTGCAGGTTCTAGAACCACTTTCACCCAAACAGGAAAGAAAAGCTGAGTTGGAGGACAACGATCTCTTTGTCTTTTGTTTGGTTAGATGGTGAGGCGAACGGACAAGAGCCTCAGCTCGCTGCACTGACGACAGGCAAGCAAAGGCGATTACCAGTTAACTGATCAGCAGGCAGGCATGGTCAGGTCATCATTGGGTGAAGAGTTCAGAGGTCAGAAGGTCATAGGTTAGTTGCCGGTGGCGGCTGGGTGGTTAGAAACAAAAAACAAAACAAAAAAAGAAAGAAAAGATAGAGAAGAGATTAGTTTCAGCTAGTGACGGCTTAATGACAACATGAAAAACTAATCACAACTAATAAAAAAAAGCATGTTTAATTCTGACAAACTGATTTGACACCATCTACAGATTACAATGAAAATCATGACAAGTTCATATCATGATTTGAACAAATGAAGGAGAGCCCCCCCAATCCCCCCCACCAAAATAAAGAAATAAAATAAAAATAAAAACTGGTTAACAGGAAAAATGGAGGTAAAATACAACTAACAACTAGCAGTTAGTAGCAGTCAATGGAGGACTGAGAACGACGATGGGGGTCGGGGTCTGCTCTACGGGACCCGGGGGTCGGGGCGCTGCTCGGCGGTGCCCGACTGCTGACAAGCATTAGTGCCCTCTCGGACGCAAGCACTGAAGCAACTATTAATGATGGCGTGATTATGGACAACTGATGATGAGCAGACAGGAAGCTAAGAAATTTCACTTACTATCAACACTTGGGTTTAACATAAACTCTGGGCCAAACAAGGTTTCTTTTGTTCAATACATGTTTATTGCTTTTTTCCATTGTTCTATTTACAAACAACATGGGGTTTCTTGGCCTCATGACACAGAGCAGTACTAAACTGTGGTCTAGCAGGGTGGCGACATCACGGGAACCAGAAAAGGCCAGGCCGCCTGCTCTAGCCACACTTCCAGTTGAAAATACTATTTTACACATATAGAACACTTACAAAATGCACTTGCATGTAAACACTGTAAAATCCTGCCATTTAAAATTCTATACTCAAAAAGCTCTAAGAACATCAAAAAATAGAAGAAATTTCTAATTGATACCGATAAGGCATTTTGAAACTACAAACAGCTTTCTTTATTCAATTTCAAAGCTAATACTCTGCAAATACAATAAAATCTGACACTTCATATACATTCCTGCTTTATAATTTTATATTTTAAAAGAAGCCACCTGTAAATACTATTTTCCTTTGCAAAATAACAAACAGACAAAAAATAAAATAAAATAAAAAAATTACAGTAAAACATAAAGTAGTTCTCAAGTGGAAAAGTGACCATGCCCAGGTCCTTGGGTTGTTCCTTTCTTAATCCACTTCTCTCACCCTCGGCTTCACCAACTTGGTCCACTTAACAGTAGTACGATTTTTAAGACTCATTCAACAGCTTAATTATTTCTACTATATTCTGAGGTTTGATCAAGTTTTGTACTGTTGCCACTGGGACTGAGGCGGAGGAGCTGTGAATGGGAACATGTCAGCAGTTAGCTTCTGCGCCTCTTCACGCAGCGAGGCCCGGGCGGCGTGTTCGGCGTTCAGCTGGCCCGTCACGGGCCGATTCATAGACCGAAGGCCAACTGACCTCCACGCACTGAAGCTGCTGCCGTAGCCTATCACTGAGGATGTTTCATCAACACTACAAAAACATGGCCTCTTCAGAGGAACCAAAACGTCCCTGAATTGCTTAAAAGTTAGTGGAATTTTATTTAGAATGTAACTGCTGTTCTCAAATCAGAGAAGCCAGTGACCATCTACCATGTGGAGCTGTGCCGTTTCACAGGCACCAGAAATCAAGACCCTCTAAGCATTTTTGACTGCACTGAAACTTTTGATTAAAATGGTATTAATTTCTTATACAAATTATGCAAATGATGGTTTTTATAAAATCATTATTCAGGAAAATTCTGATTTTCTTTGTTTTTTGGTGTGTGTGTGGGTGTGTGGAATATATAAATAATACAAACTACCATTTATATATCCCGTACCACTTAGAACACACCCTCTGCCAAGCCTGGGCCTCCTACAGTGCACATGCGTGTGTCAACCGTGTAAAACCATGTGTAGTTCATGACAGCTGAAAAGTCAGTTGGTGGCTTATAGGCTCCAAATTCAGCTTTGCAATGTGCGTAGAGGTGCGTTTGTTTTCAATATAGAATGAGATGGCTGACAGCCACGCTGTCCCCTAGATGCTCATATAAAGCTGCATGGCTACAGGGTCGCAGGCTGAGCTTCCTTGCAGTGAATGATGCTTATATTAATCTTTTCTTCCAAAGATGTAAAACAAAACAAAAACACCCTCAAAAATAGAGAACACAGTAGTATCATAAAATAATTTAAGTGAAGGACTTCAGACATGTCCCTTAGACCCAAATGAGTGCATAGTGAGACTAACAGCAGTACAAGTATTCTGTTATTTAAAAAAATATCACCATTTCGGTTTGCTGACATTGCATTTTGAATAAAAACAGTGACAGGACTATTCAGAACACATAAATACAAGAGAGCAAAGCATGGAATGTGTCATCATTTTTCAAATACAGTAAAATCTTCCTCTAATATTTTCAACCATTTCAAGGCACAGGGGGTGTGGGGAGGCCAGTGATTATTGTGTAAAAATGAAATTATGAGAAATTTCCTAAAAACGAAGGGGGCGCGAAGGGAAAGGTTACCAGCATTCAAATGCTCTTCAGAAAGATTTTAGACACTGGCAATAGGCGGCAAAGCTTCCAATTAGTCACGAACGTGTGTCTAGGCTGGTCTCCCTCTTCCCGAGCCGCCGGGCTCTGACTGCTGCAGGGTGGTGTGGGTCTGTGTGGGGCACACTCACAAGGAGTGGCACCATCACAGAGCACCACGGAGCTGGAGGGTTACTCTGCTCACCGAACAACCACTACAGTGAAGGCAGCTATCAGGTCCACGTCTGCAAGTCTCCCTAATTACGTCTGATGTAGAAAATCTATGTATCATCAACAATCTTTGGAAAGGCATTTGATTTCTGATGTGGACAACAGCTGTGTCCACTATTTATCACCAGTTTTTCAGGTTATAAGGTGAAGCAGGCACATCTTTCTAAGTTCATATAAGACTATATGATTGGTGTGTAAATCCTATCACTTTTCCCCACAAGTATGGGAGACTTTGATTAATTTAATTAGTAAAAGGCACTACATGATAGAAGCTTATAAAAAATCCTTCTCTACCTTGCCTGGGATTCCTATCTTGCAAAGAAAACACTAAGAAAGCAATTCAATGTCAAAAAACCGAAAATATCACTCCTCAAAAAGCTTAATAATTTATAAAAGGGTCCAAGGGTATATAGGACACAAATTATAAATGACAAAAAAAGGAGAAAAATGAAGACTTATTTTCCAGTCACAGGTTAGTCCAAAAAGATATACAAATAACTGGATCTCACCCCATCAATGAACTCCAAGACATTATTTTACCTTCTGATGATACAGTTTAGCAGCAAATGAAAAAATCAAAGGATCCATTTTGGCAGGAAAATATAAGAGCATGAGGGATTGACTCTCGGCTTTGTCCAAAAAGCCGACCAATCAGGAGTTACCTTCTCAGTCCTTCCTTTGTGGATTTCAGCTGAGTACATGACATTTACACCCTCATGCTATACAGTGGCTTAAGTACTGTCTTATAAAGGAAAATGGAAATGAATCTTCACTTTTCTCCTGAAGTACACAGGAGGCATATAGTCTTCTACTTCTCACGTTAAAGCACCATCCGTTCAATTCATTTTGCAATACCAACCAAACATTGTAGAGCAATTAGAAGTAAATTTTAGCAAAAATTATGACCAAAAAATAATTAGGGCAACATCAGAACTTAACAGCTCCCCAAACTGACTAGTTTATATCTTAGCAGGAATTACTCATGGTATATACCCACATAAGGATTTAATAAGTTAAAACAGGAAGGGAGCAAAAAACAAAGCAAAAAAAAAAACAAAAACAAAAACAAAAACAACAGAAACCCAACCCTTAAACCTCTCAATGACAACAAATCACTTTAGAAAGGGAAAGAAAGAGTTGCAGGGCAGCAGTTATTACGTTTTTCCATCATATGTGGTGCTGCAAATGTTACGGACACCCAACGTATTTCTTAGAAAATGAGAACTGCAGAACTAAACTAACCTCGGTCTGCGGTCACAATCCTTTGGTAAGGATGGACGCGCATATCGTGCCTTCGAACTTTAGTAGCCACCGCACCTAGTTAAATTGCAATTACCAAGACAAAGTTAGAAAACAGTCACAAGGGGAAAACAAAGTCAAACAAAAAACATTAACAGCAGGTTTATCAAAATGGATTTCAAACGTTCATTTACTACAAAAGTCTGTATGAAGAAACACGTTAAGGCACAGTAGTTTTAAATTCACCATAATCTGTCACATATATGCATCTGTTAATATAGCATCCATTGCAAGCATCTTTGCCTTAACCTAGCTTGTCCGATCATCACAATCCCAAGTTACAGGAGGTTGTGACCTCCACCAGACCCAGTCAAGCTTTACTAGTCACGTATTCACTGACGGGCCTTTCTTGCAGCAGACCCGCTAGATAATGCCATGTTGAACAGATAAGACTACTTCCAGAGTTTGTCACTTACAAAGGTTTCCAAGCACTTCTCCAAGCCTACAGATGGTGGTTTTAAACTCGGAGTCAGTGAGTGTGAACTGCAATGAATTAGGTGATTAGTAAAGCCAACAGTACAGTACACTTAGCAGTCAGTACACTACTATACACTCCTTGATAAATGACAGTCGCTTGGCCATATGACAGACGAAACCAAATTAATAACATAATTTCACTTTACATCTATGTGCAAAAAGTGCAAGTAAGTCACTGACTGCTAGGCTAAGCTCTCTGTTTCCCCGGAGGCTGCTGAGACTAAGCGTTTGTTAAACTCAGATCTGATGAGGGTTCAGTTAAGACCGTTCTTGAATTCTTAGCCTTTCGTTGGGAAAGCCATACCTAAAGATAAAAGGAAGGGAATTAAAAATTAGTCATCAGTGAAGACTTGATGCTAATACCAATCTCCTCACTCCTACCAACACACTTGTCTGCATCTGTTTGGAAGGGCACTGCTTATTTCCAGGTAATTTGATGTGAGAATTGATAAAGAGCGTGCATGTTATCTGTGTGCAAGTTTATTATAACTTAGCAGTTTAAAAGAACTTCCTCAGTTCTCCAAGTAGTCAGTGTCACATTTTACTGCCGAGGTGGTAAAGCGAGACTCGAAATCCCATCACCCTCCACGGAGTATCATCACTGGTCCCTCAGGAATGCCAATGAGCTATCGGCACCTTCTGCTTTTCATCTGTCAGTCTAATAACTAAGCTTTCCTAAATAAAAATTTCCCAACAAAACAAAAAAACGCTGCTTTTAAACAAGAAATGTGGCTGCAGTGTCTGTTGCTGTCTCTAAGCAGTAAATGGCCCCCGGCCCTTGTCACCGTCACGCACTATCACAGACAAGTAGAATTCACATGGCCAAATCCCGGAGGTCCTGCAGGGAGCCCCATCCTCAAACTCCTCAGCAGCAGATGCTGTGGGTGCAGCAGAGAGGAGGCCTGGGGGAAAGGAGCATGCGGGGTCACAGGGCAGAGGGTTAACAGGAAGGAAATGTTTATAAAGGTTATATATTACGTGTTATTAAAAAAAAAAAAAAAATGCTCCAAGAATGTGCAACAGAAGCAAGCCTCTCCTAGCCAGCTCTGTGGAGTACCTCCGACCCAGAATTCTCGGCACAAGGATTTAGTGATGAATGGAACACAGGCACAGTCAGATGGATGTGTTCAGGAAACAAGGCACCTGAGTGCATGCACACACACAGATAACATACAGAGCATGGTGGCTTTATTTAAGTCAACAGCGGATTCTGAGTTCTTATCTTAGTGTCCAGGTTCGTTAAAGACTTTCAAAATTTTATAAATCAGTATTAATGCTGAAAAAAAAACAAGATCAAAGTCCTGAAAGTAAACAGCATGCATGCAGCACCAAGGTCAGATACAATTCGGGGGGGGGAAAAAAGATTCCAATTCTGTCTGGTGAGACAAGGGGGCTGCAGGGAAAGTTTGCTCCACATTGACTGGTCACGTTAGAACGCTGCTGCACTCTAGCTCTTCCTCCAGCAAGTCAATGGGCTGAAATATCAGGCATGACTGGCATTTCAATCCACTCTATAAGAAAAAGGCAGCGGTAATGTCTTGGAGCACACCACTTTCTGTTCATGAGTTGCAACTTTTTACTATGTGTTTACAGTGTGACCTCGACTTCTGCTGCAGGCAATTCTGCATCCCAGGACTCAGTTGGCTCATCAGTCCCTGACTGCTCTATCTCAGAGTCCCCTAGGGCTAGGACTGATGGGTGTTTCAAAAGGGAAAAAGTGAAGAGACAAACACAGCAATGGAAGCTTTACAGAATTCAAAAGGCTCTCGTAGAAATTTTAAATTTTGTCTGCTATTAAGTAAGTCTCAGGGACAAAGAATCTAACTTTGAGTGGTGGTGGTGATGGGGGGAAGGAGCTCTGGTGGTGCAGTGGTTAAAGCACTTGGCTGCCAATCAAAAAGTTGGTGGTTTGAACCCACTAGTGGCTCCACAGGAGAAAGATGTAGCCGTCGGCTTCTGTAAAGATGACAGCCTTGGAGACCCTATGGACAGTTCTACCCTGTCCCGTAGGGGCACATGAGTCGGAATCGACTCCATAGCAGTGGGTTTGGTTTGGACTTTGCTTCCGTAAAGATGACAGCCTTGGGGACCCTATGGGGCAGTTCCACTCTGTCCTCTAGGGGCGCTGTGGGTCGGAATGGACTCCAGGGCAGTGGGTGTGGTTTGGGCTTTGCTTCTGTGAAGACTGACAGCCTTGGAGACCCTCTGGGGCAGTTCCAC